GTTGTTTTTTTTGTTCGAGTGGGGGGGGTGGGGGGGGGGGGGGGTGAATATGAAGGACATAGTATGAGATAGTTTAGGTGCACACTGTTCTTGCACTTTGTTTTTTCTTTCAAATGATGCAAAAAAAAATGCTTTTCAATGGACTATCAGCAACAACTGCCTTATCACCCACCCAAGTTTAAAGTTAGATTAAAATAATACAGATAAAATACCTAATTTCATAGAAGGTGTTGACAGTTGAGGAGCTAGCTAATAATTAGTTGTTGCGGACAGACGAAAAGGATTTTTGGGTGTACAAGTCTGTGCACACAGGCAGGGCACATATGAAAATGTACCTCAGCACTGCAATTCAAAGGAGTAGATGAGCTTTAATATAAACAGGATTGTGGGTTGGTACATTGCGCATATAAACATTGCCAGTGAATAGGCTTGTGTCCTAGCCCGCATCATCCTGTAAATCAAATAAAGCAATCCACTGTATGTAAAGCTGCACTCAACAGCCAGGACCTCAATGTGGTTTATTCCCAGGAATCTACAATGTTACAGGTATGACAAGATCCCCAGGCTCTGAGATGTTTCACCAAAAAGGCTTAATCATAGAGACGGAGAAAGATCCAAAACAGAACACATAAAAAGATTGACCAGTTTCCAACACACGTGTGGCCAATCCATACCCTCCCTGCAAGATGCAAATTAACTCTTGCTATTCAAATTCCTCATGAATCTAATTATAACAAAATGGTAAAGTGCAACCTAAATGTTCCATAACATGACACAATATGACAAATGCACCAATAACAACACTACTGTACAGTAAGGGTACACCCATATTATTAATATTTAATTCAAGCCACATAACCATAAATACATATATGGTAGTAAAGTGTTTACCACAATAAAATCATAAAACTACAAGTCCCCACACTGCATAAAGCATTATCACATACACTGAATTCCCCAAAAATCATATGTGACCTGAAATATATAAAGAGCTTTGATAATTTTAGATGTACATTAGAAAATAGCTTGCAATAGCAAAGAATTATCAATCAGGAAGCCGGGCGGCGTGCAATGACTCGCCGCCCGGCTTACTGATAATGGAAGTTCTGTTATCGGGACAAGTATCGGGAGCATTTGGGCGAGTACTCGCCCAAATACCTGGTATCAGCACCGATACAGATACTAGTGCACCCCTAGTATTTGGTATCAGCGAGTAAAAATATTGGTACTCGTACTCGATACTGAACAACTGTTTTTTGCTGCATCCCTATATACTAGTCAAGGAATAATTGAACTCCAGTGCACCTCCTATGTATTCAGTTTTGTAGCTGCTGTCTGTCTGTGGGTGTGTGAAGCTAACACTTAGCTCTAACTAATATTTATTTTTCTAAGATTATCTACATAATGAGGAACCCTAAGGATATCCTTGTGTCGTTGTTTCATTTCTCCAAGATGCTTTGCCTTTATAAAGATCCTGAAAGTTTCCAAGAATTCTTTGAAGACTTTTTGCAAGGCAATGGTGGGTATACACACAATGACAAAATACTTGTTAGTGAATATTATTTTGTAAACACTGTTTGTCTTCCGTATCATTTCTGGTACATCTGAATATGTTTATATTACCTATATTGAGGTAGGGTCCCTTAAACGTTTAATTTTCATTCAGCTGTGTTCATTGCTGGATAATGTCAGTTTGACAATGAATCCTCCATGGTGAACTGAAATTTGTTCATCATTTCTTATTTGTGTTTTCAGTCATACTTATAAAGCAGCTGACTGTCCAATTGAAAAACAGTGGCTGGTTTTTGAAAGGCATGAAAAAAGTGGTAGATTTATACTTGGTGAATCACCAATTTTACAATATTCACTAAGCGTTTACAATATTCACCAATTCTATACCCCTAAGGGAATTGCTATAGATGAGCAGCTGCATTTTGATTGTGGTCATGCTCCTGGAGGTGCCTCTGCACCTTTGTTTGTCAATATGACACGTAGATACTAAGGGGTTCATTTATAAAAGTTCTAAGTCAATGCATACCATATGTACAGGACTAGCACCCCTAGATGGCACTGAGGAGTATAGGCAATTCCTATACTTGTCAATGCCAACTAGGGGCACTAGTGCAGTGCAAACAGCATCTGCTCGGCTATGCATTGGATGGAACTTTGAAAAATGTCACTATTTATAACAATCAGCCCAGAGGTTCTCAATAAAGTAGAACTTGTTCTAGTGCAAAGTGGATCTCATTGAAGATGTCACATGTAGGCACCATAGCACAGGGGAAACCTTTACTTACAGCTGCTGGGATGAGATGAAGAAGATGAATAGTGGCACAGACTTTTATTTTCCCTCTGTCCTTCTACACTATTCACAAAACTGCCATAGGCAGCCGAGTGAATAACTGACCCGAAGTGAAGAACGCTGCTCGGCTATTCACTTCAGGCATGTACGGCTGATTTCAGCCATATATCGGCTGAAATAAACCGTAAATCGGGTGGCTTCAGGTCGGCTTAACATGCTCAGCCGGTTCGGCCGACCCGATGTGCAGAAGAAGTTCGACTCAGCCGATCCAACATCTGGATTGGCTGAGCCGAACCTCCGGCAGGCTACTCGCTGCTGTTCGGCCTATTCTCATAGATGCCGAACAGCAGTGAGTGAATAGCCGAAATGCCGATGAGCTATTGTGCTCGGTACCTCTGTGGTCCCGAGCAGAATAGAAAAACAGTTTAAAAAAGTAGAAAAAAATAGAAAACAATTGAAATGATGGCAGATAGCAGAGGAAGCAATAGGAATGCATAGCTAGATTCCTATTGGCTTTTTCAATTTGCAATATCCAATAGCAAGCTGGCTATTGCACCCGCCCTCTGCTGCTGTCAATCACTAGAAGGGGACCTAATGGAGAACTTCAGGTCCCCTCTGCTGATTGACAACAGCAGTGGACAGGTGCAATAGCTAGTTTGCTATTGGCTATTGCAAAGTGAAATAGCCAATAGGAATGTAGCTATGCATTCCTATGCTGTTTTTTTTTTTTTGACTGACGGCGCCGGCGGCTCCGATGTCAGAAGAAAAACAAACAAACAACAGAGCAGGGAAAGGTTTACTCTGCTCGATATTGGACAACTGGGTTTTAACAGCTGATATGTGTTTTTTAACTAGACTTCTGCTCGATTGAGCAGAGTAAACCTTTCCGGGAGAAAGTGTTTCTCTCCCGGTCGGCCGGGAGCCACTATCTAATAGCGGGGGACTCCCAGAGCATCCAGAAGAGTAATGACAGATCAGCGTCCCTGGTTAGCTGGTAACCAGGGACGCTAATCTGTCTCTGCAAGTGGCCGGAGCTAGCCGTGCGATGACGGCTGGCTCCGCCTAGCTGTCAGTAGCAGGCTGTCGGCTGGTCAATGGCCAGCCGTTCGGCCAGCTTCGGCTTTCGCCTCCGCTCAGTCGAGCCGAGACATATGCCTTCGGCTTGACTGAGCCGCTTGTCCAACTTCGGGAGTGAATAGCCCTTACAGCAGCCCTTGGGTTCTACTGAACCGAAGGGGGTCCTGGGTCCAAAGCTAGCCGAAGGATCAGCCGAAGCAATGGCTAGATCCTTCGGCAGTTTTGTGAATAGACCCCCTAATATCCTTTTAGTCAAACGTCAACAATAATGACAATTATATTTTGGGGTAAATATTTTGGGCTTGTGCTTATTATATAAAAGTTGTTTTGGGAAATAGTTTTTCAAAGCATTCTCTGTAATTAAATCTATTACCAAATTAAAATCTTATATGTCCACATTCATTTTATAACATCTACAAAAGCTATTGGGTGCAAAATCAACATGCTCACATTACTGTCTTGTTGTAAATCCTGGTTATACCTTCTGCAAAAATGGTCTCATGACTATCCAGACAAGTGATTTTAATTAGAGTGACACTAAGCTCTGGAGTTAAATCTCAAAAATGCATTCAATTACCTTAACTATTAACAGTACTGCTCCTTATTTGTGTATCACTCGGCTGGAGATCCTCAAATCATCTCTGAATTCATGGTGACACTGTTCTTCCTTCTGGAGGGTGGCTACTTTTATTCCCCATGGTCCCTGTGTGTGTTGTAAAGTAGCCACCGGCCCTAAGCTCACTCCCGTGATGTACTACAATCTCAATACAAATGAGTAAACTGAACATGAGATTGTAGTCCATCACAGGAGCGAGTTTAGAGTGATGGCTACTTTACAACACATGCAGGGACCATGCAGAAAAAAAGTAGCCACCCTCCGCCTTTAGGTCTGGTAGGAAAGTATGAGAGACCCCAAGTTAAAAATAAAAACAAAATGCGTAGGGTTCCCCCAAAGTCATACCATACCCTTTAGGTCTGGTAGGAATTTTAAGAAGGAACCCCACCCCCAAAAATGGGGGGAAAAAAACGTGGGTGGAGGGGGACGAGCAAGAGCCCCCCCTGCACCATACCAGGCCAGGGTATGTGGGGACAAGGTATGTGGGGACAAAGGCCTCTTCCTCACAAGCCCTGGGGCATAGGTTGTGGGGGTCTGCGGGCAGGGGGGCTTATTTACATCTGGGTACCCCCTTTCATACCCCCCTTGTGAATGAGTAAGGGGTACTTGTACCCCTACTCGTTCAGTAAAGGGTTAAATAAAATTGTAAATAAAAAGACCAGACTTTTGAAAAAGTTCTTTAATTAAAAAAAAAACACTACAGAATGTTTTGACAATTCCTTTAATTATAAAAAAAACAACCCAAAAAAGGAAAAAAAATGGTTCGAACAAAGTAATCCACGTCAATCACGGCGTCCATGACAGTATCTTGCCGAAATTTAAAAAAAGCCTGATGCTCATTAACCCATTTGCACGCAATGAAACACACGCCACAAAATGACCTGTATGACAGATGTTGGCAAAAAGTAAACAAATGGGCGGAGCTAGTGGTGACATCACCACTGGCTCCGCCTATTTGTTTTAGTTTGGTTGTCACCTGTCATATGGATCGGCCAAATCAAAACAACTGCAGCTGGCTTGACCCAGTTGTTGTCATTAAATGACTGCCCAGCGTCCTCAGGTCATTTGAGGACACTGGGCTGTCAATGAATAACAACAACCTGGCGGAACCAGCCGTGACTTTGTTTGCCAAATGTAATAATTAATATTTGGATAGCAACCTCAATTGGTCCAACACTACATATTGGACAACTGGGTTTTAACAGCTGATATGTGTTTTTTAACTAGACTTCTATTTAAGTGCATTGTGAATATTTATGCAATAAATATTATATATGAAGACAGACTTTTATAATACCAGTGATACCATTTATTCCTCACTTCATGCATCTGTGATTATTCTCTGAGTTTCTATGTTCTAGGATTGCATTTCTGAAACTTTTTCTAAGGTTACTCCAGCTTGTCCCATGGGACAACCCAGATTCACAGGTGACAGCCCAACCTCCTCAGCTGTTCTGGAAAACAAAAAACAACTGGGTACCTTTCCTGGTGCAGGTAAAACCTTTTTATTCAATAAGAGTAAACAAAAATATACTCACAAAATAGGCAGTACATAAAAAACATCAAAATTAGCATTAGCCGTGGAACTCTGGGAGGAGAACTGAGTCTCCTGAGTGTCTCCTTGATCTCTCCGTCTTTCACATCCACAGCAGCTATTCAATCAAGGACTGTCAGTACGTTTTGATGTTTTTATATACTGCCTATTTTGTGAGTATATTTTTGTTTACTCTTTCATTGAATAAAAAGTATTTACTTGCACCAGGAAAGGCGCCCGGTTGTTTTTTGTTTTTCTATATAGCCTTCTGGACTGCCTGACTGGAACGGGGCAGCCTCTACTGGATGCGTAGTGAAGGGTTCTGGCTTATGGATGGTCTTCCTGGCGCTGGTCGATGTATTGCATTTTTTGGGGTTCTGTTTTCTTCTGCAGAAACATATAAGATGTGTCCTCCATCTATGCCAGCCTATGTACTGTAAAAGTAAATGAAGATTAGAAATGCACAGAAGAGTGCATCTCACTCATGTTTCTGAGACACCAAACAGATATGTTTCCTTCACCATCAGAGGAAGTGGAGCTGCATAAAAAGCACACAGAACATTTCACTATTACAAGTACATTTTCCATAATAATATGTTCATAATGTATTTGCCTCCTTTGTAGTTCTATACAGCTCATGGTTTGATCACGTGAAAGGATGGATGCAAATGAAAAATAATAAGAACTTCTTTTACATTACATATGAGGAACTTCATCAGGTAAAGGTTCAGAATATTATTATTCTGTATTTATATATCATTTCTATGATAACCAGCTCATGTGTGGTGGGCAAACCATGTGATCTTTCTTGTCCATTCACAGAATGCTTTGTATTATGTGTAAAGAATACAAGATGTTTTCTCAATGACCAAAATGCCCACTATCTTCTTTGTGCTAGAGCCGGATCTATCATTTTCGGTGCCAAATGTTCGGTGTTTACGGAAGGGTAAAAAAATGATCGTCATATATATTAGCTAATGCAGCAGCTAGCCACAGATGGGACACCCATAATTAACTCCATGCCAGGAGTCAAACTGCACATGGGCCCACACAGAGCTCCTATAATATACATATCAAAGGTTCCACCAAAGACAGCAACCCAAATTAAGAAAAACAAGTTGAGGAATTTTAAGGGAAGTGAGATAGACAGCAAAGGACAAAGGTTTATGAGAGCAAATGTCAAGAAAGAGAAAAGTCTTGCCACAATACCTAACACAAAGCCATGTTTTAATAAATCCAGACTTGGGTTGGTTACATACGCTATCAATTATTTTATAATTAAACAGAATGTGAACTGTTTTGACCGTCAGTTATCAGGTATCTTTAATCCGTGAACTTGGGTACTCTGTGTTCAGCTTATCATTATACTGATAAAAGTGTTGTCTTTTTGATTTGTGTTTCAAACTACTAAAGACACGTGCTGCAGTTAAATATTTGTTAATGATGCAATGTTCTGGGCAATGCATATTACTACTAACGAGTTTACTCTTCATCCAGGATCTCAGAGGAAGTGTGCCAAAAATGTGTGAATTTCTGGGGAAGGAAATAAACGAAGCACAACTTGACTTGGTTGTAAATAATGCATCTTTCAAAGCAATGAAACATAATAAGATGTCCAACTACAGTTTACTTCCTAAGGACTTCTTAGATCAAACCAAAGGTTCTTTCATGCGCAAAGGTAAAAACCTGATATATTATATGACACCATATATATATATTGATATCATTGTCATTTTTCATGCACTTTTTGTATTTGAAAAACATTTAAAGGAATGTGTAGTATTTCTTTGTTTTTTGTATACACATACACCGATCAGCCATAACATTTTGACCACTGACAGGTGAAGTGAATAACACTGATTATCTCGTTACAACGGCATCTTTGCTGGGAGACCTTGAGGGCCGGTTCCCAACGCAAAGTCTGCATTCCAGAGCGTTCAGGCTCTGAAACGCACTGGACCGCAAACCAGCTTGCGTTCCGGTCCAGTACGATCTGCAAAAATAGTGCTTGCAGTATTTTTGCAGATCGCACTGGACCAAAACGCAGGCACTAATGTGTCTGCGTTCCGGGTGCAGGCGATCGCACCGCGGGCGGGGTGTGTGGCTGTGGTGCTCCGCCCAGCTGTCATTTGCGTGGAGAAAGGTCGGCCCTATGGCCCTATTGTGAATAGCCCGTACAGCAGCCCTTTGGTTCGACTGAACCGAAGGGCTCAGGCGGCCGAACCGAGCTATGGCTGGGTCCTTCGGCTCAATAGTGAATAAACCTCTTAGACTTTTATTCCATAAAATACATATATAATGTGTTGTCATGCGTTGCCTTGGCTTCTATTGGCCATGTGATGTACCCTGTTGCAAAACAAATTGGACATTTTTTTTATTACTGCAATGCAGCACATGGATGGAAACAGCCATCATTTACAACTTTTGGGATCCACAAAATGCAACCGTGTGATTAGGCCCAAAGAAATGGATACATGTGGCTAAAATATAGGAATCAATGAGCAGTTCTGAATATGTAATATGTATGTATGTATGATACTATATGATAGAAATGATCTAGGATCTAAGATTCTTATCACAGATCCTGATATTTTTCCACATTGATAAAAAAAGTAATAAATGAAAGACTCCTTATAGTCAGCCCCCCAAATACTTCTGCAAAAAGATTACATAGCTTCAATACATGTATGTAACCCAGATAAAACCATCAAATTACCACCATAGAAAAAACAATTCTTCCCCATATATATAACAAATTGTTACCCACTCTGATATTCCTCTGTGCTTTAGGCCTTGTTCACACCAAATGCAGAGCAGATCTGCATGAGTTTCTGCACAAGCAGTGCAGTGGGTTTTGCTGCGTTTTTGATGCGTTCCGGGCCGTTTTTGGTTAAAAAAATTAGTTTAAAATGGGCTTTCAGTGCGTTCCAGGGCATTTGCATGCGTTTTTGATGCGTTTGCATGCGTTCCAGAGCAGGTAAAATAGGGCCTGCTGCAGTTTTTTTTACCTGCTCTGGAACAGAACGCTGCGATGTGAACTGGAGCTAAAAATACAATTGGAATACATTGGACGCAGTTTTGCTCCGGTCTGTAACTGCTCTGCTCCTGGAACGCGCTTGGTGTGAACAAGGCCTTATGATTTCCACAGCAGAAATAAAGTATCTTTTTTTTATGCATTTTTAAATTGCAGGTTAAAAATGCTGAAGATTCAGGCAGCTTGAACAATTCTCTCTCTTTCACCTTGTGTTTTAGAAACATACAGTTAATCCCTGTTCTGTTGCAATTTCATAAGTACAGGATTATATACATACAACAGATTCAGTGTTTCTTGTTCTGGCTAATCACAATCACACCTACAAACAGCCAGACATGCCTTAAAGGGACATGGTCATTTTGTACTTTCAGGGCAAAGTTCTTCGGTGTGAAGACATGTCCCCCGCCCTTCAGCCGCCTGCCAATCAGCCTGCCAGCACTCCACCGCTGATCCTTACCTCTTCGTAGCTGTCACTAAAATTCCTAGTGTCGGCTAGTGTTGGACGCTAAGGGGAGCTGTGACCTTAGCCCTTCTGTCATTTGACACCGCTTGGGCCTAACAATTAGCTGCTAGTCTTGAGCACTGTCACATGGGAAGAGGTCACATCGTCCCTCATATCCAGAAAACACTGGGAGTTTTTGCTAGCTAAGGCAGTTGAAGGAGCGGCAGGAGTACTGGAAGTGGGGGTATTCATAAACATTGTCACTACTTGATGACGTCAAGGCCCAGATCAAAGGGGAGAAGAGGTTGCGGGGAGCAGTCAAGCATGTTCTTTCCAGACTTATTCCTGAATCAGGGGTTTGAGTTTATGATAACTACCTGGTGCACTTTCAGTGTTCTAATGAGGAAAGTTGCAGTGTTGGCATCCCTTTAGAAGTTGTTAACCTTTAGGAAAAGGAGATTTCTATTGCAGGGGGTGCCTAAACTTTTACTTGTACCTTACTGCACACTTCTGAGAAAATATGTGAGCTAATCACACAAGTAGGAAATTACGTTTTGCATATGCAGCGTTGCACTCACTTCTTGTTTAACCATTTTATAACAGCTTCAGATTAAAATGGAAAGGTAATTTTCAATAATTATATTGAATTACAAAATGGCTTGTGTAGCAGTTTTATATGCTACATTATTTTCTTAACGAAAGTGGAGTTTCCCTTTAAGCAAAGATAGTTCCACAGATTGTTTTTTTAGCCAAGTTAATTGGCCAACTGTGGTAGGTAAAGATAGGAAAGTAAAAATAGTTCTGATTTATTGTCATGAATTGTTCTCATGAAAAACTGTGGTCTCTGTAAAATGTTAGAAAATATAGATATGGGTAGAAAAAAAACCCATACATTGCCTGGAAGTAGGGTACATTACGGCCATGCATATAGACTATGGAAGCCTTCCTGTGTATTGGAATAGTCTACTGTGTGTTGTCACTACAGCTTGCATGATGATCCCATTATGGTACTGAGCCTCATGTGAGCAGAAGTACACTTGGGGGTCTATTCACTAAGCTGCTGAGGGCAGCCGAGTGAATGACCGATCTGAAGTGAAGTGAGCCGAACGCTGTCCGGCTATCCACTTCAGGCTGGTACGGCTGATTTCAGCCGTACAACGGGTAAAATCAGCCGTACATTGGCTTGCTTCGCGTGGCTTCGGGTCGAGAGCCAATGCATACACGTTCGGCTTGGCTGAGCCGCTCGGCAATGATCGGGAGCTGCACGGGCTATTGTGAATAGCCCGTACAGCACCCCTTCGGTTCTACTGAACCGAAGGGGTCCTGGGGCCAAAGCTAGCCGAAGGATCGGCCAAAGCTACGGCCAGATCCTTCGGCAGCTTCGTGAATAGACCCCTTGGTATGTTAAATGTACATGCCATGACTAGTTTTTTTTTTTTGCTTGTCTTGGTATTTCTTTAAAAATGGTAGCTTATTGAAACAGTGTGAAAGGGTTTTGCTGAACTGCATTACAGTAATATCAAACATTTTTCAATAATGAATCCTGATCAAACAAATATACATTGCCCAGCAAAGTACTTCTTTAAATTGTTGCCCAAGCACTAAGGCCTCATTCACACGAGAAAAGGCCAGCACGAACAGCTCCGTGCCATATGCCGCCCCAGGCTCACCCGCCCTGCACGTCCGTGCGGGTGTCCGTACTCGTATGCTGGCAGGATGGATCCTGTCTTGGGGTGAGTGTAGGGCGGCGTATGGCCGCATACTCCCATAGAGAAGAACGGGGGCTGCGTACTAATCACACGCAGCACCTGTCCTTCCTGGGAGCTGCTCGATACTGTCGTGTACGCTGTATGTGCCGGCCGTTTCTTGTGTGAATGAGGTCTTACAGTCTTCATGTTTCCTAACAGTTGGCTCCAACTCTCTGAACTATCTGTTTAGTCACAAGGGACTGCACAGTCTCCAGCAGCTGTCCATCTACTAGCTTGCAGCAGGGGAGGGGAGAGCAGGGAGGAGGAGAGTGGCTTGGCTTGCCTTGGCATGTCTGTGTGTTTGTGGAGACACAAAGATTAGCAACACACCCCAGGGTTGGCTCTATAGGACCATGCAAAGGGGAAGGAGCCACCCTAAAACAGGATATCAGGGCCGGGACTCATGGAAAGAGCTGATTCTGCAGGATGCTACAAAGTATAAACATCAAAGAGCAGCATCCATTGTAAGTGATTTCATCAGCATTTGAAATAGCTTAAAAACATTTTGACTTTAATATCACTTTAATTCCCAATCATGTACATCAACTGTTTTGTCCTTATAGGGATCACCGGAGACTGGAAGAACCACTTTACAGTTGCCCAGAATGAATATTTTGATAGATTTTATCAAGAGAAAATGAAAGATTTAAATTTCACGTTTTTCTGGGAAGAAATGTGATTTCAAAAGGCAAACTATCAGCGGAAGGCATCGTGTTACTTTTTAATCAGATTGTGTAAATGTATTTACTTTGTCAATGTAACCTTTATTAATTGTAAGACACAATGGGCATAAGGCAATAAATACATAAAAAAAAAACAGTTTGTAAACAGTTCATATACTATATAATAAGCTATATCTTTACTGCTTAATATATGAAGGGCAAAGCAACAGGTTCTCTTAATGCCCTCCTTCCATGCTGCTTATACTCACCTTCCTTTTGTTCATTTGCCAGGAACAAAAATGGAAACAGGATGGGAACAAAATGTCATTAAGTTAATTTTAAAAAGATTTGGGTTGTATCCAAAGTTCTAATTACCAAAGATAGAATTTGTCGATCAGTGCTTCATGACCATAGTTCCCCGTGTGTGGTTGGGGATTGTTTTGCCATTCTCTGGACCAGGCGTAGGCAACCTCACACTACAACTGTTGTGAAACTACAAGTCCCATGAGGCATTGCAAGGCTCTGACTGCCACAGAAATGACTACCATAGGCAGAGGCATGATGGGATTTGTGGTTTCACCACAGCTGGAGTGCCAAGACCGTCTATCCCTGCTCTGGCCCAAGACTACTGGGGTTTGTAAGAGATTGAATTTTGGCTACATCCAAAAAAACAATATAACTTTATTATTCACATAACAGGGCAATAAAATCAGTCTTAAAATAATTTAGGAACACTAAGTCATGCACCATTAGTGCTACCCCTACAGAAATCACAAAAGTTATCACATACATATGATTAAGTACCGCTTACATACTGTATATCATTTCATATTGTGGTTGCACAACACTATGAGCAAAACAAATTGATATACCCGAGATCCTGGGTTAGAATATGTAGCTGTAAAAGAATCCTGAAATTGCACTCATCCACCAGAAAAGGTTGATATCCACTCACATATAATGGATTATAGACAGCTAGCCAGGGTTTGCTATTGCTACCGTGAATATTATCACTGAATTCATCTTTTGATTTCTATGCATATGCTCTCTATGTGAAGTGGATATAATGAGCATCTTTTACGTGCATGGCACATTAAGGGATGTATTTATATACAGTTTACAGAGCCATTTGCTCTGTGAAAATGAATGTACATTTGTTCTGTGCAAATGGAGGCAAAAATGGATGCTATTAGCGTATTTTCTTTCCAGGTCGAAAGTATTACCAGGTAAATACTGCGATATGGCCACTAGATGGAACTGAGGAGCACAAGAAAGAAGAATGTATTTCCTATGCTCCTCAGCTCCATCTAGTGACCATAGTGTGGTATTTTCCAGATACTACAGTCAATCTGGAAAGAATATATACTAATCCTGTTTGTTTTTTCCTCCATTCGCACAGAATGAATGTACATGGAATTTCTCAGGGTGAATGGCTCTGCAAATTTTTAATACACCCCTAACAGTTTGCAAAGGTTCAATGTTTTTTCCATTTTAGGGCTCATCCACACAGGTTCAGAGGTCCATGCACCATGCAGAAGGCCCTTGTTTATGCACCCAGAGACACCTGGAAGTTACCTGGTGTTTTGTGCAGCCACAGCCAGAAGCCTGTTAAATATCAATGACAGGCTGACATATAGAACTTTCCACACATCCAAGCATATACATGCGTACAAGGATCAAGGCACGGCATTGGATGAAGTCAATAACAGATGATTCTCTGGTGTGCCATTATCTCAACTATAGCAATGTGCTAGGTTAGGCACCTTTGTATTGTTTAAACAATATATGGTATAACCTATAACTTTCTCTTTATTTTAAACATCAAAGTGGGCTTGGAGAGAATAGCACATGCAGAAACACTACAATCTTATTGTAGGGTTACATACATTTTGCAGCTCTTCTATGCTAAGCCTACACTGACCAAGCTTCTCAGTAATTAGGTGTAAAAAGCAGTTATTTTATTATATTTTATTGGTACGATTTAAAGCTGAACTCTGGGAACAAAATATAACTGAGCACTTTGCTTAAAAAATGATGGATAAGGTGATATACTTAGCTTATTAGAAAAAGATGGCAACCACATGAATCTATAACCAGCCTTTATAGCAGGGCACACATTGGAAGGCTTACAACAATACAAAACACAAAAAGATGCTCAGCGCACCTGCCAGCCAGCCTGCAACAAAACGAATTACCCTGTCAACAGTATGCGTTAAAAACAGAGGTTTTAGTTGCACAAACCGCTGGCTATGCGCCAGGATCATATACCAGCAGCTGTGCATTGTAGTACAGCTGTGCAGCTGCTGGTAATGGTGGACCTCGATATGGAAACGGACTGAGTGACTGCTCTGTCCGAACCTTGATTCAGACCTCTGCTCAATGAACATTTTACTCTCCCGCCCTCCTTGAATTTTAATTTACTACCCATGCTGAAACCAGGCAGTTAACCCTTGCAGTGGGTGGGCTGGGGAAGACCCAGTGCAATGGTAAATCTTTTTTTTTCCTCCAGAGGTTGGCTTTCAATATCTTCTCCTAAAGTTGCACATCCACTTGTGTTGAGCTGAATTAATTTCCTGCAACTTATAGTTTCAAATGAAAAGCCGAATAGCAAAGGAGGGGGTGGATCGACTACTTGTTTCACCATAGCAGTTATATAAATAACGGAGTACAGTAGCAGCTCAGCTTACATTGTAGAGAGGTTCGGCTCAAGGTAAAAGATCCCGGCACAGAAACTCAACACAACTTTGACTGATAAAGCTCTTCTAACAGGAGTGCAAGACTCTGCACAGAAGGTACCGTCCATCTCTCCCAATTTATTCTCATGATCTTGTTAATGTCTATATTAGTGTTGATGATCTAAGTGAATAATTCAAGGATTTATTTATTAATAAAATGCAGAATGCTATTTTGGAATAAAGTTTTTTTGGATAAAAAAGGAAAAATGCTCCTCCTCAACTTCACACGCATTGTTTCATGTGACTGGCACAGGTCAATTTGCTATGTAGAAGAACTCAAGGTTTTAGAAAAATTAACCTTTATTGTTGGGCTACCCCGGCACTACAAGAGTTAACTGTTCTTTTAGGTCTAGGAGCGAAAATAAAGAAGATATTCTCACCCTATTCCTGGATCTGCAGCATTGACTTTCCACTTTTCTTCCGCTCTGCTCCGGCTGTGGTATGCCCCTTGGTGTCTTCAAGTCTAATAGACCTGTATTACACGTGATGACGTCACAGGTCTTTAGACCACTGCAGCTTGGGGAAGAAGAGGCTGCAGGGGTCGGCCTAGCAGCCAGGCATGAAATAAAATTGGGTCAATATTTCTTCTTTATTTTCACCCCTAGGAAAAAATGATTAGTTAACTCTTGCAGTGCAGGGGTAGCCCCATTGCAAGGGCTAATTTTTCTAAAACCTGGATTTCTTTAATTTTGTAAAAGTGAAAACAAAACATGACCCAGTGACCCATTATACGCACATAGTATATTATCCTGTGTGCATGGCTGGAAGAGTCAGCTGTGTTTTAGATTTACCCCACCTCCTGCCACCGAAGCAGGGTCCCTAGGTGGGACATGTTCAGGACTGGTTGTCAATGAGAAGCTAGGATCTCATTTACTGTCATAAAGAACCTGCTCCCAGCCTATGGCATTCTTTAAAATGGTTTCTCCAGCTTGGACCGGGCAGTGCAGGAGGCAGCGATTAACGATTATTACTGCACTGCTATTGGTGGGGGGACTTCTAAGTCCTGTCAATGTCTTTTGGAAGAAGATTAATGATGCATAGATGTATTAAAAGTGTGTCTAGTGCCAAAACTATTTTACGTTTTGGATAGAGTGGGGCAGTTTTTGATGTTGCTTGTGTCCATGGCTTGTGTCCTGCTTATTTCATCGGGGCAGAAAGTGAAGAAAATGCAAAAACAGGAATAGAGGTGACAACTAAGAGGGGATTTCCCTCACTTTGGACAGATTTCCTCTGCTTTTTATAAGTACTCTAGGCAAAAGTGGACATTTAACCTTTGCAGCATGGGGGGAGCCCCACATCAAAGGTAGATTTTTCATTTCCCCTGGAGTTCAGTTTTAAACCTTTGAGGCAGCATAGAAATGTAACATCAGCATCACTGCTTATTGTGCACCATAGGTGAAGATTTCTGCTCCCAGTACTAGCAATATCCTGGTACCACCAAACTTTTTCTTAAAGAAACCCTGTCACCACCTGGTACTTAGAAAATCTGTGTTAAAGCAGGACTCCAGTGAAAAAAGTTCTTAACCCTTGCTCTGGGGCTACCGACATACTGCAAGGGTTAACTGCTTGTTTTTGTCAAGTTTCAAAAATATCGAAGTTATATTCACCCAATCTTCGGAGCTGACATTCTCTTAGACCAGTCTTTCCTGCCTCGCTCCCCCTCAGCTCCAGTGATCTAAGGATCCTCGGGCCATCATGTTCTCTACACTGTGTATAAGCAGAAAGAAATTCCATTGCTGCAGCGGAGAAGGGACAATTTTGCTATAGGATTGCAGCAAAGATATTACTGATTAGAGGCAAGTCACTGCAGTAGTCAGAATTTCTGTAAATAACTTTAATACTGATTCCCTGCCTGCCTAAAGTTTGCTGCATACCTGACAGGGTCTCTTTACACCAAAGGTATTTAGGAATTAAAACATCTCCAGTACTAGTAGTTCTGTAATGCTTCTCTGAAATATAAATAGTAGGGGCTAAAGCTGGCCATGCACGGCTTGAATTTTGGCCGATTCCTGTGAATCGCCCCAGATTCAAGCCGTAGTGGGCCCTGCCAACATCACCCAGCTCAACAAACATCAACTGAAAAATCAAAGCAGCTGGGTGGAAAAAGGTTGGCTAAACAGTGACTATTTCCGATCGGTGACCGTCACTGTTTGGATATTCTAACAGCTGCGGGTGTTGGCTGTCAGAATACAATAGCTAGCAGGGGAGATTCCTCATTCCACGCAGAAAATCAAGAATCTACCATTGCATGACTGAACAGTGACTGCATCCAATCTGCTGCGGTCACAGTTCAGGCATTCCAGGTTCGCTGTTTAGCGTGGATGAGG